TGCGTTTGAGTTATTATTATTATTTGATTAGTATCAGGTAGATGATGTTGTCATTTTGATTCTTAATCTAACAACTTTTGAGAAGTAAATCAATTGTACACGTTTACACACGTGGTACACCCGAGCCGCGCTGTAGCTAAGTATATTATGGTTGTGCCACGAGTGGTTCGGGTTGAACTGGAAAAGACCACGCTCTCACTTTTTTTACGTGGTAGAGCCATGCTGCAGCTATATTAGTAGTATAGTTGTAGCACGAATGGGTCGGCTCGACCGGGGAAGGACCACGCTCTCACAGAATACCAGCGTAAAATAGCAGCTTAACACTGCTGTGTTTCGTATGGTGAGTGTAGAGAACCGGAGACCCTTTTTACTGGAAACGAGGCATTCCATCTTAGTCCTCACGGGTGACAACGCATCTGCGTTTTGTTTCTTTATTGATGATAGATGTGGATTTCTATGGGTCACAGCAACCACTTACCATCAGGTTGACTGTGTGCTCGTTTGTCACCCGATCCTATAAAAAAAATCTCACAGAATATCGGTGTAAAACAATAGCTTAATGCTGCTTGTGTTTCGTATGGTGAAAGATCGAATTGAGACCTTTTTTTTTACCGGAAACGAGGCATTCCATCTAAGTTTTCAGGGGTGACAAGGCATCTGCATTTTGATTCCCAGTCGAGAATAGATCTAGATATCGATGGGCCACAGCATTCACTTACCATCAGGTGGTTTGTGTGCCCGTTTTCACTCTTAGTCTACTAAAAAACTACACTCAATTAGCGTAAGAGAATGAACTACACAATCAACTTACTCTCAAACACCTAAATAAATTATATAAGACACATCGCCAGTATGACAAACACAACGACGATAAACATAATTTACACATGGAAGCATTAGAAAGTGTGCTTTTACCCAACTAACTACTACTAACAACAAAATATGCAACATTCACAATAAAACCGACCAAGTGCGAGTCCGATTCGCGCATAAAGGATTCCGTACAATATTTAATATTATGTGGGTAAAAAACACGTTTCTAGTAGGGGAGCCCCCTTTAATTTTTAATTTATTTTTATTTTTTTGTTGTTATTACACTAGTCTACGGCCTAAGTATGTCGACTACGTCGAGCCAGAGACGACGTCACGGAGTTTTCAATTTAAACGTCCGCAAAACCGAGTTGACGCGTAAACTAGTTGACAAATTTAACTGGTTGATCGACTAGTCGATGAACTAGAACGAAAATGGACGGTCTAGATTCGTTAACGACAAATACGTTGACACTCGCATATAATCCTGTCCTGCGCATACAGAGTATCTGTTGAGAGCGGCCGACGTGACCGAAATTCAGTCTGGAGGACATTATTTTTGTCACGTGGAAAATATGCTATCTAAAATAAAGTCTATGGGAATTGACAGCAAATATCAATTTTGGCTATTAATATCAGAGACCATTAATAAACTACGATTTGTAATAACACCGATTGAGTTTAAGCTGGGGCATGAATAATGTCTCTGCTTGATTAATCTTCCGACGAGCTAGCAACCTAGTGGTCAGATTCGGCAGTGATGCAGAAGTTCCTGGATTCGAATCCAAAGTGAACATTTGCACAATAACTCTTAAATTTTGGTTTTGTGATCAAATTGCGTTGTTATTATACCCGTGTCTCTGATACTGCCTAGCCTTCTTTTTTTTATAGAATAGTGACAAATGAGCACATTGTTCACCTGATAGTAAGTCGATGCTGTGGTCCATAGACACATCTATGTTCACCATGTATCTTCGATTAAGAAATCAAAATGTTGCGTGGGGCCATTCTATAATTACGTAAGGATGTTTTTGACGATTATTGATCCCCCCCCCGGGGGTTCGAGAAATCTTATGTAAGGGTACATAAGATTTCTCGAACCCCCCCCTAGCGTACGTAAGATTCTAACTCGATTTTCAGAATAATAAAAATGTTGTTAGAAAAGGATCAGTTACAGTAAAACTCGGCTCCGTGGTGCAGTGGCTTAGCAATGAGTTGTTGCGCTAGGGGCCGCGGGTTCGAATCCCGCACGTAAGGTAACGTTTTTAAATCAGAATCGGAAACTCACAGTTTGTAGTAATTCAAAGATTTTTAATTATTTAACAGTTAATTTAGATTACTCTTTTATTGCTATCAGATACAGATTGTTACTGAACGACTAGTTGAGATAGTATCTAGTCTTTGGAATATAATTATTAACAATAAGTTTTTAAATAATCTTAGAGTGAACAAACATAAATCAGTTATACAATCTACAAACGAATAATACTTTTCAAATAATGATCGACTAGTTTGAAATTAAAACACAACAAAATTACACAGTGAAAGCTAGATCAATTCAGAACATCACTCATCGTATGGACTGAATGCGTTAGTAAGACATGTTGTCCAATCGGAAACAATTGGTAACTCATCAGATGCAGTAATAGATGGAATTTCATTTGAAATTTCAATTTACAAAATATTACGTAAAAATGGGTTTCAACTCCCTCCCCCCACGATAAGGGCATGTAAAGGTCCTTAACCCCCCCCCCCCCCCTCGGGACCCTTACGTAATTAATGAATAGCCCCTGTTGTCATCCCTGAGGACTAAGTTGGAATGCTTCGTTTCCAGTAGAAATGGCCTCCGGTTCTCCACATTTACTGCTATTTTACGCTGGTGTTCTGTGAGAGCGTGGTTCTTACCCATTCGAGGCGACCTATACGTGCTACAATCATAATGTAGCTGCAGCATGGCTCTACTACGTCAAGATATTTTTACAATAACATAAGAAGAGCTTTTAATAAGTTAAAAAAAATCTAAAAAAAAGTACACTCGTGAGCACACCTGTAAATATTTCGTTAGAATTCTTATTATTGTAATTAGAAAAAAAAAATAACGCTTATATCTCTTTACAATCACTATAAAAATCATCGGAACCGAGATTATTAATAAAAGCGTTTAGTGTCTACATTCACAGCCAAAAATCTCAAATGGCTTTGATTTTGAAAATTTGACATAGCTTGAAAACAAAAAAAAAACTAAAACACCTTTTACGCGGGAAACAACTAATAACAAAGCTGAACAACTTGTACATAGCGCCTTAGCACCGCTAAAATATAATCACTTTCGTTATGAACGCTCTTTTAGAACGTTTTACGTTGTGTAGTTTTTTTTTTTTGAAAATGAAACTTCGCTCCATCGTTCAGTGCCAGTGTTTTAAGGAAAGTGATTAATTTTATGGACAGGTGTGAGTCAATTAATGCAATGAAGCAGTGCTATATAAGTTATTTTAAGCATGCAACTGAATAATTATATTATTTTAGTATTTAGGCGAGTTATTAGAAGCGTACATTAGTAGGTGTAGTGATTAGTACTATTCGCTTTAGGATGGTTCCTCGTGTAACTTACGCCTTTATACTAAAATCAAATAGCTTTTTATATTGTACTCTCCTAAAACACTGAAATAATTAAAACCCGCTTCCAAAAGTAGTAATGCATTACTCAAAGAAATACTTCTAAATAGGAAATGCGTTCATTCACTTTTGTATTAATTCTTTACCAAACAAAGTTAAGTGGCGATGTAAGAATATCCACTACCCCATATCGTCCCGTGGGTGAAGGAAGAGGCAATAGAGGAAAACAAATCAGGAGACGGGCAGCAGCGTCTTCCTAATAACGACTAAAATAAAAAAAAACTGCGGTTGCAAAACCGCTTGCCATGCGTGGCAATTTTGGCAAATATCCACCCTATGGGGGTAGCCTATGTTCAGCAGTGGACTTTAATAGGCTGTAATGGTAATGAGCAAAAAACCCACCTAATAGTAATTTGTGGCTTTATTAACCCATGGTCACATGTAAAGAACTACAATAGAACAAGGCTCAGAAGGACTAGAACCCAGAGCCGTAAAGCGAGTTTAAAAAAATACAATAGAAGTAGGCTGAAATACGTTGCTGTGGAATACGTCACAGCCTATAATCATACTACCTCGCTATACCCTTCAGGCAGTAACATAGAAGTACACTTTGGTCTCAAATGAATTTCAACCTGTTCTATTAATTAAAAAAATTAAATGAAACTATGTAATATTTTTTTTATTAACTTTTGATTATCAGCTTGTTCAATAATATGAGATTATCTGTATTTACGTTCAAAGCAGACAAAAAATTGCATTCAAGCCCCAACATGCCAGACAGAGTAACTAAAATCACGCAGCTTAGTCTATAAAACCCACAGAGTACAAAAAGCACAGATCATGCAAAACCAAACACATAAAATAATACATACAATATAAAGAGGTACGGATAAAATGAGTGGCTTACTTTGTGTGTGACGTCACCGAAACGAGCCCAGAGTATTGTGTGACTTAGTTACACGTTTCATTTTCAAAAAAAAAAAAAACACTTTTTAAACACACGATATTTAAAAATAAATCAAACATTGCAACCAATTTCGAAATTTCCGTTTACATTTGAACATTTTTAAGTTAATTTATAAACCTTAGCTTAACTTATTAATATAGAAACGAAGCACAGTAAAAATCATTACAAGAAAACTGCATTTTAATATCATTAAGAAAAAGTTGTAATATTTAATCAATAGTGAACAGCTTTACAGGCTTCTCGAACGTGTTTTAGGTATATTTTTATGACAAGTTACAAATTGTTTTAGAAGAAATTGGGAAAACAACTCAAACTCAAAGACTCAACATATTTTTCAATAGAATGTCAGATGCTTTAAATTTGCTATGCAATTAAAACTTTTATTTTACTTCCTATAAAAAACTTCCCGCAAAATTATAAAAACATTTAGAAACCAATGATAATTATCAATTCAACACAAGTGACGTCTTTATACGCATCCAAAGACGTAACACCCCGACCAAAGTCGCAACAACCAGCAACAATAAAAGCAACAACCCTCAACAAAGTTGCGAAAACCCCTCAGTCAGTTGTTTAAAACCCGCAACAAAGTCGTGACTGCACTGACCTGCGGAGCGTCCTCGTCTTCCTCCGGTTCCTTATACTTCCTCACCATGTGCTCCTCGACCGGTTGGAACAGCAAAGCGGCCGCCCAAACGTTCAGCATTATACCGCCCAATATTAACACAGCACCTCTGAAATTATTTAAATTAAACGTTAAGAAATATAAAAAAGAAGACATAATATGATGTTTTTACAGGTGGTGGAACTTCTTTTCTACCGTCCGTTTTCTACCGTGTATAAAGCCAACCGTGAGGCATTCCATCATAGTCCTTCGTTTGGAGTTGACCGCAGGTGTAGTTAAGTGGCCCTCCATGGGCTGCACAGCCCTCCATGGGCTGCATTAGCCACGTACCATGAAGAAGTGTAAGTGTATATGGCATCCCCAATTTTTACATTTCTAAAAATTAATTAAAAAAAATAGAGTAAAAAGTTATTATTCTGTTACAAATACCCCTAAGAATATTATTTCTAAGAAATGGTTAGGTTAAGGAAAATTCATAATGCATTGCACTGTAGCGATCAATCAAACCAATTACAGTAATAGAACAGCCTAAGCCCTAGAAATGGACAAATATATTCTGTACTTTGTTTTAGTTAAATTAAAAAATGTTGGTGACTGCATTTGGGCTCAATATTACAATATTATGATGTTTGCTTTGGTATATTTGATCGGACTTTTTGCTAGATATATATATATATATATATATGACGGCACGTGCACCATTGCACGTGCGGCGGCGTCGGTGTAGCTAGACAGAATTCTTGTAAATAACACGTGCTCCGCACACCTGCACCATTGCACCTGCGGTGGCGCCCGTTTAGCTTGTATAAAACGGACGGAGCTGCCGTCGTTAGGACAGTCTTGGCTCTGACGTGGAACGGTGCTCTTGTCGTATTCCGTTACTAGTTTATCCTCGACTCATTGGATAATTAATTCGTGTAAACGAATTAATTATTATTCCTAACTACAAAATCAGTCTCTGTACTATACCCACTACAGACAGTTTTGTTAGACATTTTCGCAAATATAATATAGCGAATTATGAACCGCTGTCCAGTTGATATCAAAGTCAATTTCACGGACTAGATAAACTAATTTTTTTATGGAAATTGAATGGAAAGATTAGTCAGTTACGTCATTGTTTCTTGAAGTCAACTAAATATTTGTAGCTTCTCCTTCCTCTCCTGTACATGAGCCTCTCTGTCGTACGAAGTATTTGCCTTAAGCCCCATACTTGGTAGGCGGTTTGTCTCTAACGGTCGGAGGCATACGATCTTTCTGGTGTTTCCTAGTCGCCTTGCAACATTCAAGCGAGGATAGGAGATGGATTCTGTTACGCGTTCACCAAACAGCACCTTTGTATCTCCTTCTTATTCCTCATCATCATCAGCCTGTACTACTGGACATGTCTTTTCAGCTGTATATTTGTATTACTGTGTATTCTCAATCGTCACGTTTGTTAGACAATCTGTTATAAACTGTTCTGAGAGAATTTTAAATAAAAGAGGAATTGTTACACGATACCAACCTCCCCGTCTGGATGCTTGGCGGCCCACAACTGTGCGATATACTAGAAATTTTAGGGGACGGTTCCGTGGTGCAGTGCCTTAGCAATGAGTTGATGCGCTGGGGGACGCGGGTTCGAATACCGCACGGAACAAGTATGTGTATGGCCTACAAATAATTGTTCCGGGTCTGGATGTTTGTCCTCGTGCAATTTATGTTTGTAAACTGCCTCCACGACACAGGAGAAAATCCTAGTGTGGGGGTAACGTTTTTAAAAAGAAAAAAAAAAAAGAAAAACATTTCTTCCTCGTACGACCTCTCTGTGGAATAGTTCACAGGCGGCGATTATTCCGGACCGATACGACTTAGGGACCTTCAAGAAACGAGCTTACTCATTTTTAAAAGGCCGGCAACGCTCTTGTAATTTCCCTGGTGTTGCAGTTGTTCATGGTGAGCCGCATGTTTAATGAATTAATTGCCATTTTAAGCATTATGTAAAGTATATAAAAGTGAGTTTTTTTTAAATATAATTCAGGAAGTCAAACTCTAACCTTTGTCTGGTATACAACTTTCTTGTTACACATAAAAATTCCGATTTGTTTTTAAATTTAATTAGATTTGCAACCGTAAAAGATGTCTTTTTAAAAAAGACCAACGGCGAGCCATCCTAACAGATCGCAGCACCACATGTGAACACCTGTGGCGCTACTTCCCGTTACCGGTATGTGTGTTTGTAGAATGAGGGTGACAAACGAGCAGACAATCCACCTGATGATGTAAGTAAATGCTGTGCTTCATAGACAACATCTATCCTCGATACAGAATTAAAATGCAGACGCGTTGTCACCCCTGAGGCTGACTAAGATAGAACTCGCTTCCAGTAAAACGCATGGTTTTTGTTTGGCTTTTTCTTGGCTCCGTCTTTCTTTCTTCGTTATTTACCCATCAGTTTGGATTTTTAGATGGAATTTTCGTCATCAGTCCGAGTTCACTCAAATGATCTCTGGGGTTATCGAAAAAGTAATACCTCTTGACATTCAAAAAAAGCTTCCAACAAGTTTCTTTTCAAAAACAAAGTTCGTGAACATTTTAGTAAAACATTGCAAGTGTGAATTAACACTTTCTCCTAAAAAGTGATTCTATCATAACATATTTTCCTTATTTATTATGGCATAAATATATATAATATATTATACTATGTATATATTTATATATTGTATGTATGTAAGTTGATTTATGTATTTGTGTACGTCTGTATTTATACATTCATATTATATGTACATTTGTATGATATATGTATGTATATATATGTATATATATATATATATATATATATATATATATATTCTGGTTTATTCGGGCTTCGTTACTTTTTTTCTCATTATTAGTTTATTTACAGTTTATTTTGGCTGCACTACCTCCTATATGTTATCTCTGCTTAGCTTAATGGTTGACTGGGAGAGAATGCCCTAAGGCATTAAGTGCGCCATATGTGCGACTTTATTTTTTATGAAAAAAAGTTTAAATAAATAAATCAAAAAAGTGAACACTATACTCACTTGTATCCGTATGTCTCTAGAAGATAGCGCAGTACGGGCGGCAGTATTATGCTGCCAAAAGCCGAGCCAGACATACATATGCCGTTTGCGAGACCGCGCAACCTTACGAAGTACGACGTCACGATGTACACCGTGGGCGGAAAGGCCAGCCCGGCCCCGGTCCCCACCATTGCGCCGAAACTGAGAAGAGAAACAAGTTTCTTAATGAGAGCATACATAATTTTTTTAGGGTCGCTTTGAAATGAGGTGAAATATTCTATAAAGATTAAATAATAATTTTTAGGAAAATATAAACGTTAAGTTTTCTTTCCGAATTATAATTTATATTACCGTTACAGCATACTATTTACATATGTATATGTTATATACATACACATTTGCCATAGTTGCCACGCTTGGCAAGCACCACTTAGAAACTGCAGATTTTTTATTTTTAGTCGTTATTATGAAGACGCTGCTGCCCATCTCCAGATTTGTTTCCCTCCATTTCCTCTTACGATACCCACGAGATGATATGGGGTAGTAGATATTCTTACACCGTCTCCACACGGTATTTTATAATAATTACATTAAAAGCAATAAACAACCAAACTATAGATAATTCTAAAAGTAAAAGAATTAAAAAGAGAGTTAAAATGTGAAAAAATAAGGAGTATATAGGTACATACACTAGAAACCGAAAAAATTTTATTTGAAACGCAACTTTTTACTTATGGTAACTATGTGTCATAAATATTTTCACCTCAGTCCCAACTAGCGACATCTGGTGAGCGGAAAATTATTAGCCCTTATTGGTAGGATAGCGTATATGGTTTAAGTGTTACAGAGTGAGCCTTTTCTGTAGAGCCTATATTAAGGACGAAGAAAGCCGTGTCCTAGTATCACTTTCTAATTTACTTTTGCGTAGAGCCTATATTGAGAATGAAGAAAGCCGTTTCCTAGTACCACTTTCTAATTTACTTTTGTGTAGAGCCTATATTGAGGACGAAGAAAGCCATGTCCTAGTATCACTTTCTAATTTACTTTTGCGTAGAACCTATATTGAGAGTGAAGAAAGCCGTTTCCTAGTACCACTTTCTAATTTACTTTTGTGTAGAGCCTATATTGAGAATGAAGAAAGCCCTTTCCTAGTACTACTTTCTAATTTACTTTTGTGTAGAGCCTATATTGAGGATGAAGATAGCCGTTTCCTAGTACCACTTTCTAATATACTTTTGCGTAGAGCCTATATTGAGAGTGAAGAAAGCCGTTTCCTAGTATCACTTTCTAATATACTTTTGCGTAGAGCCTATATTGAGAGTGAAGAAAGCCGTTTCTTAGTACCACTTTCTAATTTACTTTTGTGTAGAGCCTATATTGAGGATGAAGAAAGCCGTTTCCTAGTATCACTTTCTAATTTACTTTTGTGTAGAGCCTATATTGAGAATGAAGAAAGCCGTTTCCTAGTATCACTTTCTAATATACTTTTGCGTAGAGCCTATATTGAGAGTGAAGAAAGCCGTTTCCTAGTACCACTTTCTAATTTACTTTTGTGTAGAGCCTATATTGAGAATGAAGAAAGCCGTTTCCTAGTACCACTTTCTAATTTACATTTGTGTAGAGCCTATATTGAGGATGAAGATAGCCGTTTCTTAGTACCACTTTCTAATATACTTTTGTGTAGAGCCTATATTGATATTGAAGAAAGCCGTTTCCTAGTACCACTTTCTAATTTACTTTTGTGTAGAGCCTATATTGAGGATGAAGATAGCCGTTTCTTAGTACCACTTTCTAATATACTTTTGTGTAGAGCCTATACTGAGGATAAAGAAAGCCGTTTCCTAGTACCAGTTTCTAATTTACTGTCAAGCAGTTATTAGTTATAGAGCTGAGTACCTCGGATCATGGAGGTCGGTCCCCGAAGTCATCTATACAAATAAATAAAATTGAAATGTCTGTTTGTAATGTCAAAATTACAGCTTTTTACTAAATGCATATGAAAGTATATACGATACTAATAACAAAAATACAATTTTTAAAGATTTTGTCTGTCTGTCTGTGTGTTTGTTCCAGCTAATCTCCGAAACGGCTGGACCGATTTTGACGGTATTTTCACTGGCAAGATAGCTGATGTCACAAGGAGTAACTTGGGCTACTTTTATTTTAGAAAAATATTTAGGGTTCCGCGAAAAAAAATAAAACCCAAAATAACACGCGAACGAAGTCGCGGGGAACAGCTAGTTGCTAATATAAAAAACGAAAATTCCTCGAAGAACCTGATGCTAAGTGGATGCTGTAGCCCATAGACACCTACATCTATCTATCCTCGATTAAGAATCAAACTGTAGGTGCGTTGTCACCACTGAGGACTAAGATGGTCTCCAGTTCTCTGCACTCACCATACGAAATAGCAGTATTAAGCCGCTATTTCACGATGGTATCGCGAGAGCGTGGTTTTTCCCCTATTGAGCCGACTCATTTGTGCCAAAACGATAGTATAGCTGCAACGTCACTCTGCCACATTTAATATGTACCAGCTCGACTCAATCTATCAACTACATAAATACATAAAGTCTCAAGGTTGTCACCCAGAGGGGTAAACAGAGATAACGGATTATGCTAGGGTTAAGGTTACTAAAATTTGACCCATCTTCATTATATCGTGATTATAGTTTCTTATCTTCCGTCTTGGGCGTTCCTTACTATCTCTATCACTATGGAACATAAATACGTATGTACATACACAACATAAATACACCTAGAGAATAAAAAGTTGAAAGACACATACCTAAAATATAAGTAGCCTATGGAAAATGCCCAGCTACTGAAGATCATTCCAAAGGCGGCGAAGCAGCCACCGATGAGGGTCACGGTACGGTACGACCATTTCACCGACAGAATAGACGAGATTGGACCTGGAAGCGATATGGAACACAATTTTTAATTATTTATCATGAATAGACCAACGAAGTTCATGAGCACGTGTATTTTGTTGTTGAATTGAAAACTTCTTTAGGCCCGTCGGCAGCTTTTTGTATGGGTAAAATCTAATGAGATCGCGTCACCGACATGCTAATGTTAATAGTGTATCTGTAGCTATAAGTGTGAAGTGGTGCGCGTATGATATGCGCGTTGGCAGCTTTTTGGATGGGTAAAATCTAATGAGATCGCGTCACCGACATGCTAATGTTAATAGTGTATCTGTAGCTATAAGTGTGAAGTGTTGCGCGTATGATATGCGCGTTGGCAGCTTTTTGGATGGGTAAAATCTAATGAGATCGCGTCACCGACATGCTAATGTTAATAGTGTATCTGTAGCTATAAGTGTGAAGTGGTGCGCGTATGATATGACCGTTGGCAGCTTTTTGGATGGGTACAATCTTATGAGATCGCGTCACCGACATGCTAATGTTAATAGTGTATCTGTAGCTATAAGTGTGAAGTGTTGCGCGTATGATATGCGCGTTGGCAGCTTTTTGGATGGGTACAATCTTATGAGATCGCGTCACCGACATGTTAATGTTAACAGTGTATCTGTAGCTATAAGTGTGAAGTGTTGCGCGTATAATATGCGCGTTGGCAGCTTTTTGGATGGGTAAAATCTTATGAGATCGCGTCACCAACATGCTAATGTTAATAGTGTATCTGTAGCTATAAGTGTGAAGTGTTGCGCGTATGATATGACCGTTGGCAGCTTTTTGGATGGGTAAAATCTTATGAGATCGCGTCACCGACATGCTAATGTTAATAGTGTATCTGTAGCTATAAGTGTGAAGTGTTGCGCGTATGATATGCGCGTTGGCAGCTGTTTGGATGGGTAAAATCTTATGAGATCGCGTCACCGACATGCTAATGTTAACAGTGTATCTGTAGCTATAAGTGTGAAGTGTTGCGCGTATGATATGACCGTTGGCAGCTTTTTGGATGGGTAAAATCTTATGAGATCGCGTCATCGACATGCTAATGTTAATAGTGTATCTGTAGCTATAAGTGTGAAGTGTTGCGCGTATGATATGCGCGTTGGCAGCTGTTTGGATGGGTAAAATCTTATGAGATCGCGTCACCGACATGCTAATGTTAACAGTGTATCTGTAGCTATAAGTGTGAAGTGTTGCGCGTATGATATGACCGTTGGCAGCTTTTTGGATGGGTAAAATCTTATGAGATCGCGTCACCGACATGCTAATGTTAATAGTGTATCTGTAGCTATAAGTGTGAAGTGTTGCGCGTATGATATGCGCGTTGGCAGCTGTTTGGATGGGTAAAATCTTATGAGATCGCGTCACCAACATGCTAATGTTAATAGTGTATCTGTAGCTATAAGTGTGAAGTGTTGCGCGTATGATATGACCGTTGGCAGCTTTTTGGATGGGTAAAATCTTATGAGATCGCGTCACCGACATGCTAATGTTAATAGTGTATCTGTAGCTATAAGTGTGAAGTGTTGCGCGTATGATATGCGCGTTGGCAGCTGTTTGGATGGGTAAAATCTTATGAGATCGCGTCACCGACATGCTAATGTTAACAGTGTATCTGTAGCTATAAGTGTGAAGTGTTGCGCGTATGATATGACCGTTGGCAGCTTTTTGGATGGGTAAAATCTTATGAGATCGCGTCACCGACATGCTAATGTTAATAGTGTATCTGTAGCTATAAGTGTGAAGTGTTGCGCGTATGATATGCGCGTTGGCAGCTGTTTGGATGGGTAAAATCTTATGAGATCGCGTCACCGACATGCTAATGTTAACAGTGTATCTGTAGCTATAAGTGTGAAGTGTTGCGCGTATGATATGACCGTTGGCAGCTTTTTGGAAGGGTAAAATCTTATGAGATCGCGTCACCGACATGCTAATGTTAATAGTGTATCTGTAGCTATAAGTGTGAAGTGTTGCGCGTATAATATGCGCGTTGGCAGCTTTTTGGATGGGTAAAATCTTATGAGATCGCGTCACCAACATGCTAATGTTAATAGTGTATCTGTAGCTATAAGTGTGAAGTGTTGCGCGTATGATATGACCGTTGGCAGCTTTTTGGATGGGTACAATCTTATGAGATCGCGTCACCGACATGCTAATGTTAATAGTGTATCTGTAGCTATAAGTGTGAAGTGTTGCGCGTATGATATGCGCGTTGGCAGCTTTTTGGATGGGTACAATCTTATGAGATCGCGTCACCGACATGTTAATGTTAACAGTGTATCTGTAGCTATAAGTGTGAAGTGTTGCGCGTATAATATGCGCGTTGGCAGCTTTTTGGATGGGTAAAATCTTATGAGATCGCGTCACCAACATGCTAATGTTAATAGTGTATCTGTAGCTATAAGTGTGAAGTGTTGCGCGTATGATATGACCGTTGGCAGCTTTTTGGATGGGTAAAATCTTATGAGATCGCGTCACCGACATGCTAATGTTAATAGTGTATCTGTAGCTATAAGTGTGAAGTGTTGCGCGTATGATATGCGCGTTGGCAGCTGTTTGGATGGGTAAAATCTTATGAGATCGCGTCACCGACATGCTAATGTTAACAGTGTATCTGTAGCTATAAGTGTGAAGTGTTGCGCGTATGATATGACCGTTGGCAGCTTTTTGGATGGGTAAAATCTTATGAGATCGCGTCACCGACATGCTAATGTTAATAGTGTATCTGTAGCTATAAGTGTGAAGTGTTGCGCGTATGATATGCGCGTTGGCAGCTGTTTGGATGGGTAAAATCTTATGAGATCGCGTCACCGACATGCTAATGTTAACAGTGTATCTGTAGCTATAAGTGTGAAGTGTTGCGCGTATGATATGACCGTTGGCAGCTTTTTGGAAGGGTAAAATCTTATGAGATCGCGTCACCGACATGCTAATGTTAATAGTGTATCTGTAGCTATAAGTGTGAAGTGTTGCGCGTATGATATGCGCGTTGGCAGCTGTTTGGATGGGTAAAATCTTATGAGATCGCGTCACCAACATGCTAATGTTAACAGTGTATCTGTAGCTATAAGTGTGAAGTGTTGCGCGTATGATATGACCGTTGGCAGCTTTTTGGATGGGTAAAATCTTATGAGATCGCGTCACCGACATGCTAATGTTAATAGTGTATCTGTAGCTATAAGTGTGTAGTGTTGCGCGTATGATATGCGCGTTGGCAGCTTTTTGGATGGGTAAAATCTTATGAGTTCGCGTCACCGACATGCTGCAAACAATGAAAATTTTGATGAATATTATGTTCATAGAAAGTCTTGTAAATACAAATACTATGTATAAATATTTTGTAATGGGCTTGCGCAAACCATTATATGCATTGATTAATAAATAAACCACATAAAAGTGTATATAAATGTTGCTCAACTTGCCGATAGACGGGCAAACCAGACGGTTAATGATTTCAATTTACAAATTACGAAACTTTAATTTTTGATACTACAATTAATTTGAAAATCCAACCAGTTTTCTTGACAAGTTTTCCCTTCTGTCGACAGTCCCCAATCACTGCTGATTGTTATTTATTTTCTATTCTAAATAATAACAAACAAACAAGCATACAGTCCACTTGATGGGTAAGTGGACGATGTCACCCATAGGCACTTACATGTATCTTTAATTAAGAATAAAAATGCAGATTGCGTAACCGTAAATGAACCAGAACAGAACCGTAAGAGCGTACCCTTGAGGACTAACATGAAATGTCTCATTTCCAATAATAAGTGTGCCGGGTTATCTGCAATCACCATACGAAACACAGCAGCATTAACGAGTATTTACGCTGATATTCTGTGAGAACATGGGGCTTCCCCGCCCGAAACGACCCATATAATTATTATGTTTATAGGTAGTTGCTGCGTGCCTCTGCCACATATATAATAATATACCGTTATTAAAAATTCCCATAGTTACTCTTCCAAACTTCTCGTCTTACATTGAATACGGTAAAAATATTCAAGACAAACCTAAACTACTGTAGAGGAAGTAACACAAGGCCACTATCCCGGAGGAAGCCGACGCACTGGTTTGGAACACGTCATTGAACTCAACCAGCAGGACCCCGAAGGACTTGATCGTTCCCGGGATCAAGATGTTAACTAGCGTTGCACCTGGAACCAAAGGAAGTCAAATTAAAGCGGTAATTCTATGCAGGTACTCGTAATTCTTTTTCTATAGAATAAGGTTGACAAACGAGCACACAGTCCACCTGGTGGTTAGTGGCTGCTGCGGCCCGTAGACATGTACATTTATCCTTAATTAAGAATCAAAAAAGGAATGCCTCGTTTCCAGTAAAAAGGGTTTCCGGTACTCTACACTCACTATACGAAACACAGCAGCATTAAGCTGCAATTTTACGCTGGTATTCTGTGAGAGCGTGGTCCTTCCCCCCGGTCGAGCCGGCCCATTCGTGTTACAACCATAATATAGATGCAGCACGGCTCTACCACGTAAAAATATATGAAAATCTTGTGATAATACTTAGTTCACTCAAAAATGTCAAAAAAAAAAGAACCTTCAATAAAAAGTAAAAGCCGATTTAAAAAAAAATAGAAAATAATAATTTCCACATAACAGCTTCTGTGCAGGGCTAGCTAACATGGACAGGAGACAATTTTATTCCAGGGGAAAGGAGATAACTAGCCCTCGCTTAGTTTTATCCGCCCTTCGAGCACCGGGGCATATAATATGCACAGTAGACAAAATGTGAAATTGACTTAGATAGATTTTTTGTATGAATATAAACTTAAACCCGCGTCCAATGAACTAGGATAAAATTGTTCCTTTCAAATGACAAAAAAGCATAATTTTTTATCTTTCATTTGGCCCCATGCTACGGACGAGGGATATATGTCTACTCGTTATGTCAAACGGGGATATACTTCTCCCCGTTGCCGTGCTTTGGCATATGGACAAGATAATTTTATCTCTTGTCAGTGGATATGATCGGGGGATAAATTTTTATCCCTAGTCCATTCTAGTATTGCTGGAGTCGTGCTTTAATTTTTTATACATTATATGTTAGCGCCGACTTCTGAAGCTGTTATGTGGAAATATTTCTATTCTTTTTAGACCTTCAAAGGCGGCTTTCATTTATTTTTTAAGTTTATTTTTAAATTTAAATTTAGCTTTACTTAACTAGCTAGCCCGGCAGACGTCATTACAATTAATATAAACGCACCGTTATTTTAAACATGTTAAAATTAATTAGCCAATATCCTAGCAACTCCCGCGTCCTGGTTTTTCAAACTAGGTACGTCACATCATTTTTAGGGTTCCGTACCCAAAGAGTAACCAACGGGACCCTGTTACTAAGCTTCCGCTGTTCGTCCGTCTGTCTGCCAGCGGGCTTTATCTCATGATCCGTTATAGGTAGACAGTTAAAAATTACACATAATGTGTATTTCTGTTGCCGCTATAACAACAAATAAAAATAAAAATAAATTATTAAACTTTAGGGCGCTCCTCTATTAGAAACGTGTTTTACGATGGTACGGAACCCTTGCACTTGGTCGGTTATATTACATTACGCGGATCGTAGTTGATTTATGTTTAACATCTTTAAGGCATTGTTGTGCCCCATTTAGGTAGGTGGCTGGCGAGATGGATTTCACTGCGAATTTATTCCCGACTTTTGTCAGTGTAATTATAAAATTAACACGACTACATCACTAGCTATTGAATGCGAATTTTGTGATTTTCTTTCTTGGCATCATACCAACAAATATTGTGAATATCAGTGATTTTGGTCCAGAAATATAGAATTTGTTAATAACTTGGCTGCAGCCTATCGGATCCTAGCATGACTCAGAACCGTCGGATCGACAAAACAAATGTATTGTGTAAACACGACTACAATAGTTTTCTTTTTATAGAATAAGGGTTACGAGCGTACACAGTAGACCTGATGGTGAGTGAAAGCTGTGGCCCATAGAAATCTACACTTTATCCTCGATTAAGAATCAAACTACAGATGCGTTGTCACCCTTGAGGACTAAGATGGAATGTCTCGTTTCTAGTCCAAAAAGTCGGTTCTCTACACTCACCATACGAAACACAGTAGCATTCAGCTGCTATATCACACTTGTATTTAGTGAGAGCGTGGTCCTACCCCGGTCGAGCCAACCCTTTCGTGGTACAACCATACTATAGCTGCAACGTGGCTCTAATACATGTAAAAGTTTATTCCACGTGCAAATCATTCAGAAGTTACACGATCAGTAACAGATGCGCCAACGTTATTTTATAAAATAATATATTATAAAATTATATAATAACATACTCATCATCATCGTTAGCCACCTGCATATCTTACCACGTCGTCACTCCACCCAGGGTGGCATCCTAAACTCCGCTTTCCGGTACAACAATGATGGTGAATGATGATTTAATTTATCGATAGAAATAGGTGAAACTGTAAAACCAACTCCAGCCCGACCTCTATTAGACAGAATAAATAATAGTTATAAAAAAACATGCTTTTGTAGATAAACGAACTAAAAATTAGTAAATAATTTTCAATAAGTTTCATATAAGAAAATAGTAATACAATTAACATAAAGAAATAATATTATTACAAAAAAAAGCGTGGTGTCCTTTTTCATATATTTTTATGATGACGCTAATTTTAACAAATATCCACAAAAATATTTACAACAAATGACATCAAGCACCTCACGCTTTTTTACGATAAAATATTTTTTTTATTGAATAAAACTATTTTTACGGATTTTATCGCGTTTAATTAATTTATTTTATATTCCCGACGTTTCGGTTGCTTTCCAGCAACCGTGGTCACCGGGGGACTGAGGTGATTGACGTCCCAATGTCAGTGTTAAACCGGAGTACCTTCAGCTTTTTAATTAATAATTTTGGTCCGATCTACGCAGAATGAACTAACTAAATGAACTAATTAAACGCGATAAAATCCGTAAAAAATAGTTTTATTCAATGTGTAGTGTTCGCGTAAATATAAGAAATCATTATTTTTTTTTATGTTAATCACTATTTTCTTATTTTAAACTTATTGAAAATTATTTTCTAGTTTTTAGTTCGGCTATCTACAAAAGCGTGTTTTGAAACTATTTATTATTTTCTATTTTTAGTGCGAAAAGTCCGTTACATAGATACTTACATACCAAGCTAATCAACGCGTGTTAAAAAGAGCTCCACACCTAGTGAAGTGTTGATAGTTTCTTTACTGAACATAAGTACGTCTGGATAGTTTGGTGTGCACACGAAGCACTGGAGTCGGAGCAAGGGGAAACACGAAATGCGTGCACGTTATGTAAAAACAGCACGCTAGCGGTACCTGCACCATTTAAACCGTAAACAATCCAGCTAAAATCGAGACAAGATGCCAACAAACACTATTATTTCTGATAGCAGAATTCAGAGGACTGTGATAGAATACCTCTTTTTTAGTAAAAAAGGTCTCCGGTTCTCTACACTCACCATACAAAACACAGCAGCATAAAGCTGCTATTTTACGCTGATATTCTGTGAGAGCGTGGTCCATCCCCGGTCGAGCCGATCCATTCATGCTACAACTATACTATTAATATAGCTGCAGCATGGCTCTACTACGTATAACCTCTCTTGTGGTGTTATCTCTGACGCGCTACTGGAGTTTACTCTATAAGTTAGGCCTTATAAAGTTTATTTTCCCTAACATTGTCACCTTGAGATTCAGGTCAACCAATGTGCTCAATAAAATGACCTATAAAATGAAATAGATGGCGCTATTACTTTACAATGCATTCACTATAAGATCCGCGAATGTGTTGCGCGAAGGGCGCTCTTAATCAAATTTCGTAAAATCCAAAAACAACGGTACAAACTTGTTTTTGATAAAAGTGGAATAGTAAGCATACATCGAGGATATTTAATAGTTATTTAACCATTAAATATCCTCGTTGTATGCTACATGACGTAATCTACGCCTAGCAACTGATCGCTAGGGTTGCCAACACAGAAATCTAAACGATTAAAATAGTCGCACGGCATAAACATAGAACTTGACTCCCCAACTAACAACTTATGAGTCATTAGCCCGCGATAGTTTTGGTTTAATATCGCTCGAAATATGGGAAATGAATCATTATTTACCACTTATTCGACGGTGAACGTGATCATGTGAAAATCGGCATGTCATAAAAAATTTCGAAGTCATGATGTGAAGTCTACCACAACACACGTTGGGATAGCATGACAGACATTTCCTTGTTTTAAACCCCTCTCAGAATTTAGAGGAGACCTGTGCCCAACAGTACGATGTATATAGGCAGTATTCCTTACAGTTCAAGAACTTTAAAAACTTTATTATACAAATTTTGTATAAAAAAGGTTATTATAATATTAAGTAATTTATGGATGATAATAACCCCTGGGAATGAGGTGATCGCTATCAAGATATTTCTAATTTGTTTTGAGTGGTTAATTGTGATTACATGATTGTATGTTGTTATTAAAAAAAACAGTCCCGCTAGGTTTCTTGCCGGTTCTTTGCAGGACAGAGGTTTTTTTTCGAACCAGTTATAATGAAACAAAAGAGTGATCTTCAATAAGTATTATTTATGACCTATATTGAATAAAAAAGTTTCTGTTTCTGTTATACTTTATCTGTGATGTAGTTATATTACAACTACCACTGTTATTACTGTTCCCTAATATCTGAAGCGTTCAAAACTGCAACGTGAAATCCGAATGTGAATTTACGATTACGTCGTGCTTGCCTGCGTTACAAAATATAGGGCTGATGCGGTGAGAGATGTGTCAATAGAAATGAGCGTGTGGATAACACTTCTACTGATATTCTACTGTTCTGTAACAGCCTGTCAACAGTCCACTGCTGAACGTAGGCCGTCCTCATAAATTGGGGCATATTGACAAATAGATGCCACGCTTGTGCCCTTATCTGTGCTTGTTCCGTATCCTGTCGTATTCGGGTCTTTTTTCTTTGCTAAACTTTCTACCTGCTGAGCCGTGGTAGCTCAGACGGTTAGCACTCGCTGTAAATATCACAGTACGCAGGCAACCCGGGTTCGATCCCCGCCGGCACCAATGAAAATTGCACTTTTAAGTGGTCGGCGGTGAAGGGTAACATCGCGAGGAAACCGGCATGTCTGAGAAATAAGAAAAATAAAATTTCGCAAACATATCAAGTTCGCCAACACGCATTGGGGCAGCGAGGTGGACATTTCCTAGCTTCCTAAAACCCCTTAACTTTAACTTTTTTTTACCTACAACCTTCAACGCCTCACAATTAGAAAATGTTATTTTAAAAAGTTATTTTAAATTTATTTTAAAAAAAAAACAAGTGATTGTTTAATCTGTAAGTACTAGGAACAGACAGACACAAGCTAATAATACCAGATACCAGTTACTGGACTCTACAGTCAGTAATTCAGTCTTGAAATGATGCATACGCTTTTATAACAAAATGCCAAGAAAAAAATTGTCCTCGGTAAAGTTCAAAAAACTTTATTAAAAAAATAATCAATTTATGGATGATAATAACCCCTGGGACTGAGGTGATCACTACAATGCTATTTCTAATTTGTTTGTGTAACAAAATATATGATTGTAAACTGTACTTTTTAAAAAAAAAAGTCACCCTAGGTTTCTCGTTGGATTCTTCTAGGGCAGAAGTATTTTCCGAACCAGTGGTAAACTAAACCTATGAATGACTTTTAATAAGTATTATTTTATAATCTATATTGAATAAAAAAAGTTTCTTTTTCTCTTTATCTTTAGAATTTCTTTGTATTTAGAATGCATCAAGATCCTATTCCCATCTATTACGGGGTCTACCCTAATGTCGCTGTCCACACAGGAGTACCCATAATGTGTGCAATTTTCGCCCACATTTCGGAAGTATTCGGCACACGCGTTCTGTACTCCCAAATAAAATAAAAACAATGAAGCTTTCTTCAAAAATTTTTATAAATTACAAAGTAGCAGAACATAAATAAAAATAATATTAATATATAAAACTTACAATAAATTAATAACATTTGGTTTAAAAAATTGACAACCCTAACAACCGGTCGGCGAACTTAAAACATCTACTTGATATGTTATCATGCCAGCATCAAATGTCTACTTGACACAACTTGGCATAATGCTTGTTTAATTTAAGGAAAAAAAAATCTCGCCACAAATGAAACCACACGAGTAAATAAAGGTAAGCTGAAACTGCCATCGACTGCCATCAATTACGACTACTCTTGCAACGAATATTAGGCTATTACATTGGCTGCACTAAAAGTATCGGGAATGGAATATTTCCACTGTTCCTGTCATATTAAAATCTTTTTAATTGATAAGTCCTTGGTTTTAAAAATCGAATACCATTTATTTATTTAAAAAATTCTCGGTCTTGTCACAAGGTTTTGTCAAACTTGTTTAGTCGTTGAGAAAATGGAATTGACTCGAGAAAATTAAAGAGCGATGATTTATTATGACTTTCGAAGTGGTTTAACACAAAAACAGTGTGTTGACCGGATGATTTCTGCATTTGGTGATGAAGCCCCATCCAAAACCACAATTTATCGCTGGTTTGCTGAATTTCAACGTGGACGTGTTAAGCTCAGTGATGATCCCCGTCAAGGTCGTCCAAAAACTGCAGTCACCCAAGAAAACGTTGATGCTGTGCGTAAGCTGATTGAGGAAGATCGACATGTGACATACCACGAAATTCAGGCAACTTTAGACATTGGCATGAGTCAAATACAAATAATCTTGCATGAACAATTAGGTGTAAAAAAGTTGTTTTCCCGATGGATACCGCATTCGCTCTGTGAAGAGCAAAAAGCGGCTTGCGTTACTTGGTGCGTCAGAACTCTCGAAAGATTCCACGCAGGATCCTCAAATGCTGTATACAACATCGTATCAGGTGACGAATCCTGGATATATACGTACGAACCCGAAACAAAAAACCAGTCACGAGTTTGGGTGTTCGAAAATGAGTTAAAGCCAACAAAAATTGTTCGTTCACGGAGTGTTGCAAAAAAAATGGTGGCCACGTTTGTCTCCAAAACCGGCCATGTTACTCTTGAGGGACAAAGAACGATTAATGCAGAATGGTATGCTAGCATTTGTTTGCCACTGGTCGTTTCTGAACTCCGTAAAGAGAACTGCAACCGCCGCATCATCCTCCATCACGACAATGCGAGTTCTCACACCGCACACAGAACAAAAGAGTTTTTAGAGCAAGAAAACATAGAATTATTAGACCATCCGCCGTACAGCCCCGACCTAAGCCCTAATGATTTCTATACTTTCCCTAAAATAAAGAATAAATTGCGTGGACAGAGATTTTCATCACCTGAAGAAGCTGTGGACGCCTACAAAACGGCCATTTTGGAGACCCCAACTTCCGAATGGAATGGTTGCTTCAATGATTGGTTCCATCGTATGGAAAAATGTGTCAAATTTCGCGGAGAATACTTCGAAAAGCAATAAATACATTTTTAAATAGTAATATTGTGTCACTTCCTTGATTCCCGAAATTTTCAGTGCCGGCCTCGTAATATTGAATATTCGGTATTCGGCCTATTTGATTTTTTGCATGCCGTTATCGCCTAAGCGCGTCGGTATGTTCTACCAGGGCCTAAAAATTTATCCTATTCGGTCGAATACCGAATACTTTAATGATGATGTTCTGTTGAAGTCAGATAATTGGTAAAACGAAAATATTGATTTATTTTATAACAATGTTTATTTTTTGTAACCATGACAGTAATCATGGGTACATAATCAATTACAGTATTATAAAAATAAATAAAAAATCAAATAAATGTCTATGCACTCGAATATTGTAATTAAAGTGGAAGATAACTGCGGAGAAAGACTTTTAATTAACTTTTTCTGCATTTGGCGTGCGGCTGATTATACTATACGTTGCAAGTCTAATTATGACGAAAGAACCTTATTGCACCAACAAAGGACGTACAGTACCAGTGTTGCCTAAAATAAGTTTATATAATACGCAATAAAATTTTTATTAGTTCAAAATAGCAATATAATACTGCAATGTCTCGTAAGGCCACTGAGCAATGACGAGAAGGCCTGTCCATGTAATTGGTTCTTTTAGAGATAAAATTTTCATCGCTTGGATCTTCACCGACACCTCCGAATCGCGATGGTGTGTGTGACCGCAAAGCGAGTGACTAGCGATAGCGACACGTGTGAACAAAGGATGCGTATAATTTTTAGAAAAAACCGGAGAAATTATTGCACCCCGGAAGGTGGGGAGATCAACCATCATTACCGGAGTCTCCCGTTCAACCCTTCCGGGTTGGGAACCCTAGGTAGATAGGATATAAGTGGATGTAAGTTTGGCGTAAGTAGTTTACAACCAACTGTATATTTATGTGATAATTAAAAAAAATACTACGGCACCTAATGTTAATTATATTGTACTGGTACATTATCCATATGTACGCAAGTTGATTCCGGTCGGTGATGACTGATGGCACACAAAAAAACAAACAAAATGGTGCAGTTTACCTACGAGTACGAACCAGCCCCACTTCCCGTCGGGCGGCACCATCTCCCAGTCGCGCTCCGGCGCCGGGCCGATGGTGAACCGGCCTGCTCCCACCGCTGGGCTTTCATCTTCCGGCAGTTTAACTGTAAAGGAAACGCCAGAATTAGGAGAAAGACTTAAAGCAAAAGCATTGTAACGATGTTTATCCATCCGATTTTGGTCTCGTCGAGAATGTCGGAATGCTGCTAGAAATTATCACGTAGAAGCTTTGCAAAATGACACTTCTTTTACTTTCTTTTTTTTTATAGGATAAGTTTGACAAACGAGCACACAGTCGATTACGAATCAAAATGCAGATGCGTTGTCACCCGTGAGGACCGAGATGGAATACCTTATTTCCAGTAAAATGGGTCTCCGGTTCTCTACACTCACTATACGAAACACAACAGCGTTAAGCTGCTATTTCACGCTGGTATTCTGTGAGAGCGTGGTCCTTCCCCGGTCGAGCCGACCCATTCGTGCTACAACTATACCAGTAATATAGCTGCAGCTTGGCATTAACTATGAAACATGTTAAAAATTAATTAGCTAAGTTTCGCGTGATGCCGTTAAGTCTCGTGCTGTTATTTTGACATTACAAACAGACACTTCAATTTTATTTATTTGTATATAGATTAAAACGTTACCCGCAGACTAGGATTTTCTCTTGTATCGTGGAGATAGTTTACAAACATAGATTGCACAAGAACAAACATCCACGGAACAATTTATTCGTAGGCTATACAAATAATTGTTACATGCAGGATTGGAATCCGTGGCCCTCAGTGCCGCAACTTGATGGCAAGCCGCTGCGCCATGAAGACGACATTAATGCACAGAGTAAAGAGTCGGTTTCTTTACTCATGTAATTAATGTACGCTTTGAGCTTGAATTACTTTGATGTTTTGATTCTAATGGTTCCACCTCTAACACTACTATCTACTATCGCGTAGTGTTGGTTTCCTACTCGATATAAGAACGAAAACGGGGCTCGGGTTTGAAAGCCACTAAAATATCTTCTATTCAACAGCGTTCCGTATACACCATCTACAGTTAATGGACTCGGTCAAAACATTAGAGGTCGTATCATTTGAATTCCATAGCCGCGTGAAATTAAAAAAAAACAAATGGCGCCACATTACAAAAGCGACGCTTTCCAGCGAGCCGAACTGGACAGACGCCAAGTGTTATTCCAGTATTATTTATGTTTGACTTAGGGTTGTCAAATATACCATTTCTAAATTACGTAGATCGACCGACGCGTTGATTTAGTGACGACTGTTGACCATGACGTCTTTTTTTTATAGGATAGGGCGACAAACGAGCACACAGTTCACCCGATTGTAAGTGGTTGCTGTAGCCCATAGACATCTACATTTATCCTCGTTTGCGAATCAAAATGCAGATGCGTTGTCACCCGTGAGGACCAAGATGGAATGCCTCTTTTCCAGTAAAAAGTGTCTTCGGTTCTATACACTCACCATACGAAACACAGCAGTGTTAAGCTGCTATTTTACGCTGGTATTCTGTGAGAGCGTGGTCCTTCCCCGGTCGAGCCGACCCATTCGTGATACAACTATATACTACTAATATAGCTGCAGCATGGCTCTACCACGTATAAATCTCGGGTTCGAATCACGGACCGACCCAAAATTGAAGTTAGGAAATTAGCGGTGTTTCAACCCCGGTGTCTGGAAGATCACGTAAAGCCGTTAGTGCTACGTCTGATCTTTCTCCGGTCCTGTCAATTACTGGTCGGCTACTAAGCCGCTGGTTCTGGATTCGAATCCCAGCGGGACATAACATTAAAAAAAGATAAACTGTTGGTTGTTGGGTGTGATATGTTAGTTTATTTGCCGGTATCTATCACCTCATCTCGTTCGGTGGGTGTCATAATGGGTAACTATGTGAGCGGTCAGAAAGACCTCACGGTCTCAGATAGATGGAGATATATAATTACGTTTAGAAAACTACAAATTACAAAACTACACGTCCCATATATATATAAATAGTCGTGGGATAGTCTCGCAAAAACTCGAAAATGGCTCGAACGATTTTGATTAAATATTTTGTGTGTGTTAAGTGGGTGCCTGCATGATTTAGATTCACAATTGGACCCAGAATATTGCGCAGTTGTCAAAATCCAGATATCACCAATGCGAAACCGGGGCGGACCGCTAGTTATAACTACAAAAAAAAAACACATAATTTGGCAACCCTAGTCTCAGGGTTGATTCGCGTCTGGATCGGAACGTTGATCGAAAGAGGACGGTAGACAGTGCCATTTTCGACACGTTGTATTTTAACCCTAAACAGTTTGGAATATGGTCTATATTATTAGCATCATTATAATTTGGTTCAATTGAAATTCTGAAGTCGACCTATTGGGTTTCTGATAACATGATTTATAGGCGAAACTATTGACAGTAAGTAACACTGAAATAGAAACTTAGTTAGATTTTCGTTCACGGTAGCCAGTCTTTTTAACCGACTTCAAAAAGGAGGAGGTTTTCAGTTCGATTGTATGTTTTTTATGTATGTTGTTACTTCATAACTTTTTTCTAATTGAAGTGAATGTGATGATTCTTTTTTTTTATTTGAAAGCTCGTGCTTTTCATGTGGTCTCATATAAATTTGATCAAGGTCTGACCAATAGTTTTTTTAATAGAATAAGGGTAACTAAAAAGCACACAGTCCACCTGATGGTAAGTGCATCTACATTAATCCTCACTTAAAATGCAAATGCGTTGTCAACCCTGAGGACTAAGATGGAATGTCTCGTTGACAGTAAAATGGGTCTCCGTATCTCTACACTCACCATACGGAACACAACAGCGTTAACCTGCTATTTTACACTGGTGTTCTGTGAGAGCGTGGTACTACTCCGAACGAGCCAACACATTCGTGCTACAACCATAATATAGCTGCAGCGTGGCTCTAGCACGTGACACGTCAATGTAGACTAGCCATCCGTGCAGGAAAGGACTACAGTGCACAAGTGCGTGCGAAAGCATAGCTTCACTCTCTATTCCATCGCTCTCATAGACCTATGGTACGACAATCCGACACGAGCGGAGTGAGATCTGGATCTGGAAGCACCGCTAACCTGCTGACTCCGGTTGCTACTGAGAATTTATTGAACCTCATGATCAGTAGTGTGCTTACGATCACCAGACTCATGAGGCAGTCATCAGCGGTAATACTAAGTGGACCAGGATCAAACGTGATCAAAGCCATGAAATCCTGTGATAAATAACCATGCGGCTGGTTCAAAAACTATTTTGTTTTTTCTTTGTTTTTTTTTATAGGATAAGGGTGACAAACGAGCACACAGTCCACCTGATGGTAAGTGGTTGGTGGTGGTGGTGGCCCATAAACATCTACATCTATCCTCGATTACGAATCAAAATGCAGATGCGTTGTCAGTTGTCACCCGTGAGGACTAAGATGGAATGCCTAGTTTCCAGTAAAAAAGGTATCCGGTTCTCTATACTCACCATACGAAACACAGCAGTGTTAAGCTGCTATTTTACGCTGGTATTCTGTGAGAGCGTGATCCTTCCCCGGTCGAGCCGACCCATTTGTGCTACAACTATACTATAATAATATAGATGCAGCATGGCTCTACCACGTAAAAAAATTGTTTTACAGAAGAGGGCCATTAGAGCTATTTATAACCTAAAACCGAGAGAGTCTCTTAGAGATAAATTTAAAGAAATAAATATATTAACTTTGGCCTCTCGAAAATTTAACGTATGTTCATAAAAACAAAGCTAGTTTTAGTAAAAAAAAAGTGATATACACTCTGTAAACACTAGGAACAAACACAAGTTAGTGATACTAGTTTCTCGTGACAACAAGGTCTCGGAAAGTGTACAGGCTCTCTCTATTACCAAGTTTAAATGTTTTATTAAGCTGAAACTGTATAAAAAGGTTTATTATAATATAAATGAATACATGGTTGATAATAAACCCTGGAAATCAGGTGGTCGCTTCCAAGCTGTTTCATAAATTTTGTAAATAGTTTGTACAACCATTAATGTAAAATTTACTTTAAAAAAAACCCGCTGGGTTTCTTGCTGGTTCTTCCCAGGACAGAGGTATTTTTTCTTCTAAACAGTGGTAAAGTAAAAAATTACTTTCAATAAGAACTACACGTGACGTCGTATCATTTTAATTCCATAGCCACGTGAAATTAAAAAAAAACTAATGGCGCCACATTACAAAAGCGATGCTTTCCAGCGAGCCGAACTGGACAGACGCCAAGTGTTATTCCAGTATTATTTATGTTTAACTTAGGGTTGTCAACTATACCATTTCTAAATTACGTAGATCGACCGCCGCGTTGATTTAGTGACGACTGTTGGCCATGACGTCTTTTTTTTATAGGATAGGGCGACAAACGAGCACACAGTTCACCTGATGGTAAGTGGTTGCTGTAGCCCATAACCATCTACATTTATCCTCGTTTGCGAGTCAAAATGCAGATGCGTTGTCATCCGTGAAGACCAAGATGGAATGCCTCTTTTCCAGTAAAAAGGGTCTCCGGTTCTCTACACTCACCATACGAAACACAGCAGTGTTAAGCTGTTATTTTACGCTGGTATTCTGTGAGAGCGTGGTCCTTCCCCGGTCGAGTCGACCCATTCGTGCTACAACTATATACTACTAATATAGCTGCAGCATGGCTCTACCACGTATAAATCTCGGGTTCGAATCACGGACCGACCCAAAATTGAAGTTAGGAAATTGGCGGTGTTTCAACCCCGGTGTCTGGAAGATCACGTAAAGCCGTTAGTGCTGCGTCTGATCTTTCTCCGGTCCTGTCAATTACTGATCGGCTACTAAGCCGCTGGTTCTGGATTCGAATCCCAGCGGGACATAACATTAAAAAAAGATAAACTGTTGGTTGTTGGGTCCGATATGTTAGTTTAGTTGCCGGTATCCTATCACCTCATCTCGTTCGGTGGGTGTCATAATGGGTAACTATGTGAGCGGTCAAAAAGACGCTCTCATAGACCTATGGTACGACAATCCGACACGAGCGGAGTGAGATCTGGATCTGGAAGCACCGCTAACCTGCTGACTCCGGTTGCTACTGAGA